AAAGGAAACTTTTCTTTGCATATGTTCCCACTATTGCCTTCTCTTTCCCGCACAGCTTGAGGACCAGAATTTCTTCCTTTATGTTTTTAGGCATGGAAAAGTAAGCATATACTTACACATTTTTTTAAGGTTTAATACGCAAGTCCAGCCCTACTTAAGCAAAGAATTCACAGATGATATTTACAAGTCCAGTGTAATTACTGCAGGGTTGAAAAACGAGTTCTGTGAGTTACGGTACATCATTGTTTTTCTTTTTTCTTTTTTTTTAATGTTACAAAGAACAATGTGCCTTTCATTTCCTGCAGTGCTGTTAAGGTACTTGCAGCTCAAAGCAGCAAGAATACATTAAAACTAAAAAGCATTTGGTTTGGGCATTAAACATTTTTATTTTTTAGATAAATGCCTCTCCCTCTACAGAAATTGTTTGAGCAATGAATTTGGCACACATTTGTAATCAGCTGTAATAATGAATGTTGTCTTGCTTACTTGAAATGGGAGAATTTACCAACTTCTTTAAAAAGAATTAGCTAATCTACAATTAAAGTGGTGTGCTACCAACTTTGAATTATCAAATCACAATACCACATGCTCGAGAGACATCAGTTGTCTGTAGAAAATGACACAGCATTCTTCTGCTTTACACAGCACATTTCATGTGTACCTTTACGCTGCAGTTATTAATTCTCCAGGACTACCACATCAAACACAAACATTGCCTGGTGGATGTCTGACATCCATTTACTGACAGCAGTAAGACAGCACTGTACCACAATTATTAACCAGTTTGTGCTACACCCTCCTTGCCTTTCTCCAGAGTTAAACTGCTGGAGCAGAGCAGGATTTGACTTTTAATATTCAATGAATCTCTGAAAGCTAGAATCACAAATATCCCCACTTTGCAGACAAAAAGACTGAAAAGTTTTCCTACAAAAGTTTAAAATAATCCTACTTACAAAAAGAAAATCTCTCCAATAGCCGTTTCCACGACTGAAAGAGAGAATAAAAGCCCTAGAGAGAGTCCACGGCAGTGCTGAGCTGGGAATTCAGTTGTTCCTGATCCCCAGGCATGCAGTCACTTCACTACATCAGACTAGCCATTTTGTCATCCTCAGTTCACTGAAAACTAGTTTGTTTATAAAATACAACACCAAACCAGTGCATTTAACAAGCTTTTAAAATCAATAACCTTTTTTTTTGATTGGGTGAATTGCAAAATCTCTTTGCGGTGCCAACTGAAATGAAGCTTTTACATACCATTAGGCAACTACAAAAGTGGGGAATTTTCCACACGGGTGTTCCACCCAGCTGGTCAGAAAAAAACCTCATTTGAGCAAAATATCAGGACATCGGAACATGTTCCTGCCTTTCAAAAGAAGTTGCTGGTCTCTTTCATCATCCCTCCTGCAAATTTCCTCACCCACATAACAAACAAATTCCGGGTTTGCTTCCTCTCCTCGAGAAGCTCTTTCCCATGCTAATGGACCTGAGAGACAGCAGCACCGTGCACACCATTCGGTTACATGTTAGCTTTACCCCTCGTTCCAGGACAAGACATCTGGACCTTGGACCATGGATGCACAAACGAGCCCTGTCTCGCCTGCATGTTCGCTTTTCGTGACCATTATGCTGGATCTCTCTCTCTCTCTAGAAAAAATAAAATTGCTGTAAATTTTTGCAGTAGTGATCAGGTAAGTGACTGCCTGAAAACTACTGCAGTCTAATGAAGGCTGAAGAAAAGGCTAGAGATGGTGTTAAAGCCACCACTGAGAGCAGAAGATGTCACCATCTTCTCTCTCTGTGATGATTCTGCTCCAGAAAATGCAACTGTAAAGCCCACTAGAAAAAAGGAGTGGCTCTAAAAAATAAAAGCTTTTTTTCCCATGAACTTCACTTTAATGAAGGTTAGACATAGAGGCTTTCCAAAATAACACATACAATTTAGAATGATAAATTAAAATCTGTAGTAGGAGGCCTTCTTTTTCAGGGCTGTATAGTTGACCCTTTTGAACCTACATTACTCAAGGTATGCAAAATATATGTGTATAATAAATAGCTCTAGAATTTATGGAGTGGAACAGAAAGGATATTAACAGGCAAGTAGAGAGGCTGTATAACCCTCACAAGGCTTTTAAAGATTTATTTTTTTTAAATGAAGGAATGCATGCATGTAAAAGGTAGTACTTAATCGATACACTCCTTTGTGCCTTTCAGAAACACGCAAAATTATCCCAAATCTGCCCTCAATCTGGTCATTCTGCTGTTAGCATCAGTGGGAATAAGATTATTCACAATACTATTTTTCTTTGATTTCAGAAAAAAATTTCACTCTGTGTGGGTTCATTCCCACTCTCAGTAAAATCAATTACGAGACTCCCATTGACTCTGGAGGGATTTGGATCAGGCCCTGTGGAAGTGGGTCTACAGCAAGTGTAGAACAACGCAGTTAATATGATTTATTGTGTCCGTTTCTGTGCGTGCAGTTTTTCATTTTCTAAAGCCTGCAGTTTTGCTTTCATCCTCACGTTCAGTAGATAAGAGCTGCAGATCTGTGTTGATCTACACACTGGGTACACTGCAAGCTGGGGGTTGTGTGTGCTGAGAATGAGCTCAGCGTCTGCCCAGGGGGAGCAACCCCTTTAGGGCCAACAGACTGCATTAGATGCATTTGTAAAGAAAATCTCCCACACAGGCACAGCAAAAGGTGTGTAATCAGTTAGGAGGCTTCTGCTGTGGTGGGGAAAAATACCCTTTAGTAAAACCGAGAAAAAGAAAAATCCTTTTCCTGTTTATTAAAAAAAAGTACCTTTTGCAGGTCACCAGTAAAGTTCCAAGAATTCACTAAAAGCTTGTTTTACAAGGAAGACTTAGGCCCCAAATCAGAGATATTTAATTTCACTAGGCTCTTACAGATTTTACATTATTAAACACCAACATTGCTGCTTTTCGGGGCGGTTGTTGAGTAACAGGCTTCCTTAAGACTAAGAAACTGCAGGGTAAGAAGAACTGTGGTTTAATAGCTGTGAAAGAATATTATCCAAACACGAAATAATAACATGCTTGGTGCCTAATACATTCTAAATTAAAATATGATTTAATAAACATAGGCAACATATTCCCCACAAAAAAAAAAAAATAGCAGAATTGGCAGAACAAAAATCACAGTTTAGTCATTTCTTCTCTTAACCTCGCCATCCTTTGGCTACAGATTAGAATTTCTGTGAACAGGTTTGATAAGGGAAATTAGGCACTGTCTTTCAGAAACAACAGAAATGTTTTAGGATGGTATGTTTAGAGATGAGCAGCACAAAATCTATCAAAATATGAAACCTTTCATACTTCAATGGGAAGGAGATACAGGAACCCCAAAAGCCAAAATCTTCCCAGCCCAATGAGCCCCATGTTCTATGTCCTATGATATATGCTAGTATCTTAAAGTTTTTTTATGTACCTAAACGTCTTCTTCTTCCCTTAATTCTATCTGCTGTTTAAACCCTGATCCAAATGCAGTCCGGATGTGAATGCAGCCCTTCAACCTCACTCCCACTTGCAGCTTCTTTGGTTGCTAATAAAGTCCCTGAAACACACACTGAACATATATACAGCTCCAGGGATTTGAGGCAAAAGCAGTTAGTTGCTCTGTGAAAGGGCAATCACAGTTGTATTATTTTAGATACAATATTTCTACATGAGATAGATTTGCGTATCCCCCAAATGGTGACAGGTTTTAGAGACATAAGTCCTCCACACAAATTCTTTTCTGCGTATGCACAGTAGACCCCAGTACAGTGGATCCCCCATCAACATTTAGGTCTTATAAAAAAAAAAATCTGGTTATGGATAAAAAAAGTCAAGAAAAACTGTTAATAATAATCACTTTCACTTTTGGAGACAGTATTTCTAAGTCCTAAATATAAGCAGTAAAACAAAACTCAGTTGCTGATGGGCCAACAAAAATTGTTGAGGTCTACCTTACTTAAACATAAAAAGGAACAGAAGCTGTTCCCTCACACACATACTTAGGCTTTCACATACAGTCCCTACAGAAATTCACTATTATTGAACAAATTTTTTTCAGGCTGCTTTACAAAGCAAGCCATTGGTTCAGTAGAAGCTATTGCTTCTACTTTAAAACTATCCCAGTTCAAAGAGTATTAGTGTTCCCAAAAGTCACAGTCCTGCTGCTACTTCCACATAAGCTCAAGCCGCTGCCACCTGAAACAATGATATTGCGAACATACAGAGAAGAAGGAGCAACAAGCTCTAGCTGAGCCTCCCTGACCTGCTTACCCATAGTATCTACAACCTTTAAAGCACGCCAGTGAAAAAATACAGACAACGCCAGTAGCACCTGTATCAGTCCCGCAGTGGGTACCTGCCGGAGTAGCCAGTACGTTTATAGGTGTGCGGTCCTGCCCTGAAATGGCAATGTTTAGGAGTGTTGTTGCTCAGTTTTGCTTAGCAGATTTTTGCAGTAGAGAACGGGTCGGCAGAAACATATTTCAAAGCAACCATTTTGTTTCGCGGGACTATCTGAGATCCTGCACTCTAAAATGATGGCTGGCTACATACCGAAAGTTAGGTACTTCAGTGTGTCATGTGAGAGCATCAATAAACAAAATGAAGTTAAAAGCACATAGATAAAACTGAAAGCGATGAAGCACACACCCCTAGGGGGTCATGACTCACGGCCCAGGGATTGAAAGCCTTTGCTACGGTGGAATAAGGATAAGGGTTGCATACAGCAGGCTCTTTAATGGCATCTCCCTAATTAAAATAATTTTTAAAGGAAAAAAATATCTCTCTGCAGGACTGGAGAAACAAATGCTACCTTAGATTAGTGAAACAGTAGCATTTTAACTATGAGGAGAGTACACAACCTATTTGTAGGTATCCCATGTCAATTATTCTGAATAATCTTTTTAATTAGACATAGGAAAAAAATCTTTATAAATATGGGCTGTTTTAATATCCCAAAGCAGGAGCAGCAGGTAAGAACTTACCATTTTCTGGCTGGTCCTTAATATCAGCTTCACTTGGCTGGCTGGGACTTTCAGATTGACTTGAATCTGAAAAACATAAAATACAGCCAAAAATTACAGGGTCTGCTGTGGAAAATAGATCAGAGGCGCCAGACTTCCTCAAAAGGCTGAGAGTACAAACTAAGGACAGGAGTGTTGCACTAGGACATGATAATGCAAAAGTCCTGTGCCTAGGTAATATTTTTGCTAGAAAAAAAAAGGGAATCTTGTTTACGGCACTACACAGAGTGCTTGGTGTGTGTGTGTTAGCATAAATTAAGCTTTGAGAATCCTTCTTTTTAGAGAAGGCATATTTAAACTACTCTCCTACATGTTTTTTATAATGCAGCCTCTATGTTGTATACAAACCAGAGCCTTAATCCAACACATAGTAAAGTCTCAAAACATATTTTCAAGCAGGCTTATAAAGGTAACTAAGCAACACTACAAAGTCGTGGAGATTGTTGTCTACACATTTCTGGAACGAAATATGCAAAACTGATAGAAGAGCTGATTTTCATCATAACTTTCACAGTGGTTACAGTACTATGAGATCACTGAAATGTATGGCGTTGTCCCTGATTTGCAGTGGTATAAATGAGACCAGATACTGGATGAACTGCTTTAGAACTTGTGCAAATAACGGGTCCTACAAACTCCCAGCTAACACTCTCCAAAGAACACAATTTATTTGCCTAAAATAATAAAATGACCTATAAAAGGATATGTGTAAATATAATTTTTTTCATTTTTTACACATTATTAACTCTAGTTTATGTGAAGATGATCACTCTTTCGTTCAAAAATTATTCTTAGTAGAAGCTTTAGTCAAATAGCATTTTCCTTCTTAATTATTTCTATCACTATGAATTGGGAAAAAAAGGTCCCTTTTTACCTGTGTGGAAAAATATTTTTTAAAAAAATCCCTCAAATTACTTTTTTTGCAATAAATACAAATAGAAAAAGATTTCTTCCCCCCTCCCCCCCCGAAATTGTTCTGTAACTTATTGATCCCATTAAAAAAAGTTTTTGCTGTGAAACAAAACTTAGGAAATGAAACCACTTGCCACTGCATCAAAACCACCCCCAATCGTGGCAAACCTATTTTCTGACTTCACCTTGACTTTGCAGAGTTTAGAATTAGCTGTCTGAAATTTGACCACATTTCAGAGAGAAGTCAATGCAAGATCAAAAGGTCATGACACTTAACTGTGATTAAATTGAAAATCTTACTTCTATTGCAACAGAGTGATAACACCACCCCTTCTTTTTCTTTGAGGTATTAATAGCGCTGGAAGAAGCAGTACTACTAGTGACCTTGGGTCAAGCAATGCTAATTTATTGCTTTAAAAAGGTTCCTTGCTTTTAAGCAAATGAAGATTTTAATTACCGCAGAGCACTATAAAGAAAATGCCTATTTTAAATATTCAAATTTTTTTTTACCTGCTGACTGTATGCATTAGGTATCATTCAGAAGCTTAGAGGACAATCTTGTATAAATTAAAAACTACAAGTAAAAAAATGTGCTCACAAAACAAATTTGGATATATTTCAGAATATAAACATTCAGAATATTTAGCAAAGAAACCTTCAGTCCAGATACTTGTATTTAAAATCAGTGAAATTCTCCTAAAAAGTGATATGTTTCCCAGTGTGTCCAGAATCCATTTTCTCTCTTTTGTATTTATTATTTTTAACAATTTCTCCAGTGAAGCTCAGTGAAAAAAATTATTCTCACTTCTGCAATTTTGTTTTAAATATTGATCTTCTGAGTTATCTTTAACTGAAGCTCAAATCAGTGACAGCAGATAGACTACCGGGTAATATGCACAGTGCTGTTATATTCTGGACACTAGATTTTGGCAAGAGGTTTCACGTTTCCAATACCGCAAAGGTAGCAACAAAGGTAAAATATTAGGAATGTAAAATATTTAGTTAACATTCAAAGTCAACATTCAACGGATTTCATTTTACAGGGGAGGCATTAGGCTTTTGCTTTTCCTCCAGCAAGCCATAGTTCAATCAGCATTTGGGCTTTATGTTTAAAGTAGGGTCAGAATTCCACAAGAACTTATATATTTGAAAAAGTTACTGCAGAAATATGGGACTCAAAGCATGTTTTCCTTGCAAAATTTTAAACGATCCAGCGAAGCAGCGAGAGGGACGAGGGCTCAGTGGCAGCCGCAGGAGCTGGGCTCGGTGCTGGCGCTTTCAGCCCCCAGCCTGGCACCTTCGCTCCCCAGCACAGCCCTGCAGCCGGTGGGCAGCACACAGAGCGGGAGCTGCTCCTGGATTTTGAGAAACAAAGTACTTTTGTTTGTGTCGAGTGCTGTTTTTCCAATGCCAAAGCTAGTGGCACAAGAGAGACTCTACTGGCTGTAGGACATTTGTTTGAATACGGAATCTTAACTTTCTTCTTTTATTACTCTGGCTACTGCGATAACATTTTTCCTAATTCTGTTTTCCTGTAACCCACCCCTTCTGCTGAAATTAAATATTAATTTCTAAAATAGACAACAAAGGCTTGAAGCACTATTCTTCATGGAGAGGCATGGGGCAATAAAATGCAGGATGAGGTAGAATTAAAACCAATCTATACAGCGGTAGAGATCACGGGAGGCTACTGAAAACACGTACTGGGCAAGCGTATGCTCAGCATTGTTATGCAAGGTGGCATCTTGTGGAAACCCCAGATAAGAAGACTGAGTTAAGGCACTTAGCCAAAATGTTTATATGCAGAATTTTGCTTCCCTGATTTTATTCAGATGCCGCAGATGATCCGGTACATATAAATGTGCCGCCACATGGTTAAGGGATTGGCAAAATCAGAGCCGTTGTATTTTACAGTCTTGCCTAGGACAAGAGAGTCTTGCTCAGCCTCCACCACTCGCTCTCTGCTTTTTCAGCAGTTGGCAGTAACTCCTGTCGGGGCTTTTTTTGTTGTTTTGCACATGGAAACTTTAAAATTCCAGTTTTCTGAATGTTTAGTGTTTTGCGGGCTCGGCTACAACGGGAGGGGGAATGTCTGTCCTGCTGAGTCAGTTAGCCAAACAGGTGACCGGAGGAATAAATTAATTTTTGCCCATACATAATTGATATAAATGGAAGATCGTTTTCATAAGCATTTGCATTAAATCAATAAAATCACTTACTATAGAGCAGTTTAACAATTCATTTGATTTTCTCTTTTCTATATATTTGATAGCCACTCTGCAAAACAGTATACACTTTATGCCTATTTTCTTTAGCAACAACACTGCCAGTTAAATTCTACCACCTGCAATAATTAGAGCCATTGGAAAACATACAAAACAAAATATACAGTAGATGTGAGCCCCTCTTGAATCCACGGCCCCCTGCGGCAACGAGTTTCATTGGTGCCTTAAGCTAAGGCTGGTAGGAAGCCAAAGAATCTGTATATTACAATAAAGTGCATGTTATTAAGGGGAGGATTTAAATGATTTCAGATGGAGTTGGAAATATTATAGTGAGGAACCACTATTAAGCTTGCTGATTTAAAAAAAAAAAATCACCAAGGAATCTAGTTTTATATTTAAGGAAGCTTAACCTTGAACAGCACAATGGGTTTTATTTGGGGGCTTTTTTAGCTAAAGAAAAGTTAGTGGTTGGAATTTTTAACCCTGAACTAGCTGGAGTTAGCGTATGTACACTGGAGTCAAGGTTACTGGACAAGAGAAGTTCAAGGGGATCTGTTATCAACAATAATCATGGGGAAACAGGATAAAAAGCATGTCGAAGCTATTTTACTCTCTACTTCCAAGAATCAACTATGATTAAGGGATAAAGAAAAAAACCCAACAAAACAGGCTAGTTTTTCCAAAGTAGCATTTCCTACTATGTCTCTATTCTCTGTTCCTCTTTGGATCTGTTTCTTAAGCATATGCTACCCCTGTGCGACCGAGGTGGTTACGCCTGAGACCCAGGTCTGCCTGATCTCAAAGCATAAGTGGGCAGGGACCTTCAGCTCCAGGACAGAAGCTCTGGACTTTTCAATATGCAATTTTCCTTTTCAGCTGCAGCAGGAGCACAGCTCCAGCCGGGCTGCACTATGGCTGCGTGGAAGCAGGGCTCGCGGCGCTGGAAGGCAGCGCTCCATTGTTTGGAAAGAATAAAACCTTCCCAGGAAAGTCTGGCCCGTGGACAGGACCAATGTCAACAGACTGACAATGTTGTTCTTTTTTGTAGACCGTGACAGAGACGGTGAAGAGTTGTTACGCTCCTCCACCAAAAAAGCCTGCTTCGTGTGTCATGGCACTTGCCAGTGCTAAACCACTTCATGGCTACCTGACCAGAAAATGGGATGTTTTCTTGGGCACTCGCACTTTCTCGACACGCCGTGTTTTCCAGAGCATGCTGAATCCAGCCTGGGGTGGCAGTGACCAACAGGGACCGGCCTTACTGTCTCCTGGTCTGCACAAACTGAATTAATGGGTGTCAAGATTATTTTTTACCTACGTAGAGCCAGCTCCCACCAGAAACTGAGCGCTTGCTAGCAGCCAGTGTGCTAACTCAGGTGCAGATGCATCTATCCTCTAAACAGTAAAGGTGATCCCCACATAGCGGAGAAAAAAAATTACCAGCGATGCCAGATGAGCAAGGCTGTGCTGCCACTGCCCATGCTGAGCCCGCTCTGCAGCTAAATAAAGCGGGCTCCCTCTCCTCCGCTGCCAGCCCGGCACCTCACAGAAGCACCGCAGAAGTGCACAAGTTAAATTTTCCATTCATATCATGTTTTAGGGGGGGGAAATATTGTATAATAAACTGACATATTTTATTCAAGTTTCAGAGTCCTATTTGTAATAAAAAATTTATATGGCTGGGTTGTGTTCATGCAATAAATTTTTCATCTATAATTTTGGGCATGGATTCTACCAAAGATTTATATACGTAAAAAAAAAAATATCTAAATCATGCTCCTTTGTATACAGTCTTACATGGTGAGCTTAAGGGATTTACAAACAGAAACCAGCACCAGGACTGAGGCTTTTTTACACCCACTTTCCCTTCATTATACGTTATAATATAAA